CTGATGACAACAGAAGGGAGACAGTTTCCAGTTCTCAAATGGAAGCTCTTGGTTTATGTTACCTTTTTCATCGCACGTTAAATGCTTATGCTTTGAATAAACACTGGTATGTAAACCTTAAATGTAACTATTGCTGTTGGAGCAACGTAGTACCATTACAGCTGAGAAGGCATATTGCTACAGGTGAGACGACACAACACATTCATCACCATCTCTTTTCCTACTTTCAGAGGCCATTTGCAATCGTCACAATGGAAACTTTGAGGAACCCACCAACTGCGGGGAATTCGTCTCTTGCGCATACAACCGCGTCTTCCGCCACCGTCGATGCCCCGCCAGCCTTAATTTCAATCTGGAACTCAACAGTTGTGATTGGCCATTTAGAGTCACGTGCGGGGACCGTCCCACAAAAGAACCAAAAGGTGCACTTGTCAAAGACAAAGATTAATTCTTTCGCAATTTTGAAGGTCAACCAGTTCGAACGCGCCACGTTGATTATTTAATAATTCTATGACATCGGGTTCTCATTGCCTCTTGTGTTTTGATATAAGAATGTAACTTGTTCTCAAAAATTTAAATTTGATTTCTAGCTACGAGACGCAACTTTTCGACCCTTCCTCGGATGACTTTCCTCCCTCATAACGCCAAAGCCTTTGAGGAATGGTTGAAAACTATGACGTTAAGTCAAAAACACCTTTTTTCCCCTAGTTACCTTTTGTTTTCATCATATGTGACTGTTTAAGTTAAACACAATTTACTGATTAAAAGAAAAATAAAGTATAAACATGTTTATATGCATACATTTGACTCCATGGTGTAAAGTGCTTGATAAGCTCAGAAGTTATTGATACATTCAAGTTGTTCAAGGAGCGGTTACTGTCTGTAAGCAGGGTCGGCAACCCAATTTTTTTTTAACACGAATAATTTGAGTAGGCATGGCGCCTAAAGCTTTTGATCGGTTATTTTCTTTAAAAACGAATTTACAGCATAATAATTACACAACAGGTCGGTAGATCAAATAAAAATGCCATTATGATGGTGTGACTGAATCACAATATTTAAACAGGATTATAACTAAATTGCCAGTGCATATTAATAGTACAAAGAACGGCACTAGAATCATACTTGAGCGACAAATACATGTGATATTGGAAATATTGGACTTACGTGTTACCTTCTGAAGTTATATACCATCCGTTTTAGATTCGTTTTAAATTCATCCTCAGAGAGACCCCTGCCTCAGAAAACACAGAACATTTTCATCGTGATTTTATTGTTGTGGAAGGAAAAACCAGTCAACAGGCCTCCAGCATACTTTAAATGCTTGGAAGTATACTGTGGCAATTAATTATCTGCAAATTAACAAAAGACAAAAGTTGATATTTTCAATAGCAAAGACAACATTTTGATCACACTGTTGGAAATAAAGACTTTTATTGCCATAACCAGTTGGTATGGATAGCAACGAGCTACCTATACACAGGCGTTCTCTTCACAAGGCCGGATACGCTAGCCCTTGCACAGCAAATTTTACAACTACTATTCATTTTAGTATCAGAAGACCTTAAGTGAACGGATTATATAATGTTGCAATGTTATATGGTCCAAACATAAGACTTTTGATTCTTACATGTACATGTACCCTAATGCATGAGTGAACCGTGATAACGCTGAAACACTCGGTGGAAGCTGCCAAAAGTGATTCTTGGAATCTATGCGATTTCTAAATGGAGATTTAGTCAGAAATTATTATCAGCAATCCCGAGCGACCCCTTGCGGTGGACAGCGAGTGAAGAAGACAAGGAATGGGTAGGGGTGTCTAATGCACCTTTTTCTAGAACTCCTCCGGGTGAGCAAGGACCGATGCAGATAAAAGTGCGTTTTGTATAAAACATCCTTACAGGAAAATAATGAGTCACATGTTGATGATTATTTCTGGATTGGCACAAACTGCGCACGTTTTGCATATGAATGCGGAAAGAGGGTAGTGCTGACTGTTTTATACGGAAAAGATTGCTACGTGTATCAACCCATGACCTTGAAGCTCTTTATTCTGGGATGGAAGGAGTTATTTGTTTCGCAAAGCGTAAAAAGGCCATGTATATACATTGAAAATCAAGTAGATAAGATCCGCGGAATAGGAGTCCATATTAACGCACCATGATGATGTTCTTCTTTCAGCGGAAACTGATAATGATCCTGCACTCCTAGAAGGACGTGTACTAGACGATCTCTGAGAGACGAAAATAAAGCAATTCTACAGTATTATTTAAATGCCTTTCATAAACTACAATTTATACGGACTACAATAATTTGTTTTGAAAAACTACGCTGAATACAATCCTTGCTTAAGGTCATAATGGAGGTCTCCTAAACTTATGGAATCTTATGATCTTATGTCATTAAGTGCCATAACTATTCTACAGTATATCATATTACTCCTAAAAGATGCCCGTCTTTCAGAATACTTTTTAATTCCCTTTTAAGGATTTACATAAATGTAATATTTCACAACCATATATAGTACGTTTATTAGCCTCTTAACACTGTTCCTAACGAAATGTCTAGCTCTGCCTTAATTAAAAAAAAGGAAGACGGCTCTGTCCCTTAAGGCACCACCGCAGTACTTTGCATTCAAATAAAAGGTGTGTACTTGATTGTACCCTACCATGACATACATGTAAGTTATACATTTCAGGTTCAAGGTTGATATATGATTAACCTATATAAAAATCACCAAAACATGTTTGTCCCTCAGAAAACGCTGTCATATATTAAATGTATTTATTTATTTATTTATTTTTTTGTGCTGGGTTCGCAATTACCACACGTGCTAACACATGCACGTTTCCGAATTTTCTGGTATCACGCCGTGCTCAGTTCTGAATTGATTACCAGAGCGTGTCAAAGGATATTCTTTTAACTCGTATTGTACCAGGAAGTTAACTGAGACTTCTGTCTTCTCAGGACTGTGGGTATTTGACACACATATGGCCCGTGCAGTTATCCAAATAAAATATATTTTCCTTGAAATACAAACTGTTAATGTGTCTTTCCTAAACTAAACGGTATTATACACATTTTGTTTAAACATGGTGGATCGAACTGACTACTACTGGTTTAATTCCGAGCTAACAGATACATTCTGAAGAAAGTTAAAGCACCCAAACTAGGATGATATCTACAAGACTAAAAAGCTTTTTAGCATCATTTTATCAGCAAAATTTGGAAACAGTAACCTTAAAGATATGAATATTTTGGATGGTATATCTGTGCTAGTGTATACTTCATATTGTCTAGTAACAGTTGCCTTGGTGATCTCCAGGGCAACAAGTTCTGGTTGTACTGGCTGTATGGTGTTGTGCCAGTCACTGCCAAACATGCCTACGAATGATTTCACCGCTCTCTCCGTCCCTGAGAAGATAAGGTTCAATAAATAAAACGCATCTAGTAAGACCAAAGAAAACATTTGTTTTTGATACTTGTTTATTATTTTGAAAGAGAGAAAAAGTAAAGAATTAAGGTTTGATTTTGGAACCATAGGAAATGCCATTAAACCGTCAAGTTGAAGTTATACAAATATTTTTTCCACATTCACATGATTTACATAATGTGCAAAAATCAAAGACACTATGTACATGCCAAATACAAATAACAATAATAAACACAATATCACACTTGACTATAAACGATGGCATCGCTATACCTGTACTCACGTGTAGCGCCTACCATACACAAGGTAACAGACACCCCAGAGTTATAGAGAGCCAGTTCCTGTACTTACGTGTAGCTCCTACCATACACAAGGTGACAGACACCCCAGAGTTATAGAGAGCCAGTTCCTGCCTGAGGACGCCAAAGAACCCCTGGAGAGCGTACTTAGTGGCGGTGTACACGGCTGTATATGGAGTGGCGGTAACTCCTGAAATAACAGCGTGGTCTGAATTAGTACAGATACTGTAGTGACATCTTCAGTCATCCAAAGGAAATAGTTCAATTCATATTATGTTCATTGCTATGACATACGCCCACTGGACTATAGGTACCATAAAACTAAAACAACTATAGTCGTGCTATTTTAAAATACATTTTTTATAAATATATTTATATAATTATAAATATATATAATATTAGTTCATAACGAGATTGACAGAATTGTAGGAAAATAAAACGATGGAGGTTGAAACACGTAACAGTAAACGTTTGTACATGTGTGACAGGAATGGAAGACCGGGCTTCCATATGATTAGTACAGGTTAGGGTTAGCAGTGTGTCAGGAATGGTAGTCCTAGGAATGGAAGACCAGGCTCCCATATGATTAGTACAGGTTAGGGTTAGCGGTTTGACATGAATGGTAGTCCTAGGAATGGAAGTCCAGGCTCCCATATGATAAGTACAGGTTAGGGTTATTTGGAGTTTTGGGGTTATTTTATTGGACTGTACAAAGTTGTGGAGAATGGACTACAGTTCGTGTCAAACTGACCACTTCTGACGCGTCTTCAATACAACAGCAACACTTTCAACCTCTCTGAAACAGTATTCTGCTAGTGCATTTTATGGAATTGAACTTTTTTTTAATTCTCTTGTTATTTAAAACTTTTTATTTCAAGTGATTGACAAGCAGACGATATACCCACCCGCAGTAGAGGAGACCACAGAAATGTGACCACGACTATTGGTTAACAGAGGTAGTGCATGGGACGCCAGATAAACATATGACCGGAAGTTAACGTCCATACTGGTGGTCAGTCTCGTGAAGTTGTCCCCTGTCCCCAGCCACGGCTGAACGTTAGGGAGTATGGCATGGTTCAAAATCAGTATGTCCAGCCCTCCGAGTTTGTTTTCCGTAAACTTAGAAAAAAAAAACAATAACGTTTTTTTAATATTTAGCCAATCGTTTGTTGCAATTCTAGAGATATTTTGCAGTTGTACACACTTTTAATTCTCACTGTTAATTGACACTGTCCTCACTGTCCGTGCTTTCGTTAAGGTCGCAAAATTCGTCACGCTTGTTTCCATGAATATTATATTATATTTATAAAAAAAAGAATAAGATTGGTATCCAATTCCACTTTATTCAGACACCGTCCCGTACATTTGACAATACTGTAATTCACAGCGTTCACATTGTTCAGGACCCATATAACCCATCTACCAATTGTCGGGAGCGCACGTGGATCAAGAGACGCTCCCGATGACCTAATTACGTAAATAGACTTCATTAACTTTGTGCGCTGATTGGACATTGGTCCTGCAGCAGAAAATCCACCTAAGATCATAATGATAAAGGAAACTAGTATAAAAGATCATATTTGTTGTCCCCACAAAATGAAAAAGACCCCTTTTAGACCTGGAAGACGGGCCCTTTTCTTCCCGGACCCTTTCCATAGGCACCTTTAACGGGCTAAAGAAAGTTTGCTGGGCATCCTCTAGATAATGAAAGAGATTTAGACTACCCTCCAACCTCTGTCTCCATTGCTATCCTTCGTTAACCGTAACGAAATTTTCCCTTTTTGCCCAATTCACTTCTTTCATTATATCTACAAACTTACCTCTAATAGTGACATTGTCCCATTGGGGTTTTTCAATAGTCACTAGGACAGTCCACTGAGCCTTCATGACTTTCAATGAGTGCCGTTCCATAAGGAGGACTCCGTCCGTTAACTTTTGTAACTCCCCGTGAACTCCCGAAGAGAACAAAAAGATTAACAAAGTTAGTAGGGACTTACCTGCTAACTTACCGAGTGGGAAACTTCCATCTCCACTTCCTTTGCCACATCCTCGTGGTCTACAGCCTGTGCCACATCCTCATGGTCTACAGAACCGTCCTCCATTTCCTCTGCCGCTTCCTCGTGGCAGGTATTGCCTTTTTGCTCTGTCGCTTCCTCGCGACAGGCTTTCTTCTTTGGTTGCTCGTGAACCAAGTCCTCTGCTGTTTGCATGCATCTTTTTCTGTGTCTAGTGAAGTGTGAATGTTGGGGTACGGTGGCTGCCTGTATGCGCCTTTTCCTGTACCTGGTGTTGTGAGTGTGTGTAGGCACTGTGTTTCGCTTTGATGCTACTGGAGCTTCCCACTCGTGAACTGATTCAGTGTCTGAGTTGTCAGTGTCTGAGTTGTCGGAAACACTTACCGTATCACCTACCTGGCCCTTCGCAGGTCTGGGGCCGGTTTCACAAAGCAGTAGTTAGTTAGAACAACTAACTACTGAACTACCTCGCTAACGAGCAAACTTAGCGATTTTCAAGGGGTGTTTCACGAAGCAGTAGTTAACTCATCGCTAAGTTCAGTCGTAAAGTTCGGTCGTTAGTTCTCTCGTTACTCACCGTAGTCTCGAAACCGTCTGCCGGAAGTGGAACTCTTGCGTAAAAGTGTCACGAAAGCACTAACTCTCCAATTTTTAGTGGCTGGAAATGCATAAGAACGTCTGCTTTGAGGTCGTCGTAAAGGATCTCCACCACCTTTTTGCCGCTCTTTTTGTCACAGCTAGGC